ATATTATTTATTTATAAATATTACTATTTATCATGGCGCAGATAAAAAAAATCAGTTTTTAGAAATGAGTTATTAAAACTATTATGTTCAGAAATAAAAAAAAAATCTTCTTTCTGTTAAACAGAAATTGGGCAAAAATATATACAGAGGATCTGACAATTCTGACTTTGACTGTATGTTTGACAGGTTCATGCCACAATAACTTGCGGAGTCGTTTTGTGAAAAGTGCACAGCTAAAACTCTTGCAGGTCTCCTTGTGCTTAGGGCTTCTGCTCTTAATGAGATCCAATTGGAGAAGTTGTGCTCTCGTGGCTTTGGTCACATGTGGAAGTGATTGCGGGATCTGGTGCTGCCGACAGTGAGCGTGAGGAGCAGAAAGCCCCGGGTGTGTCTTAAGTGTGAGCTGTTCAACACAGAGTAGTAACAGAGGACTCTGCAAGGTATTTCAGAGCACTTAAAAAGTTCACTAAATATCCATAGTCCAACTTGTCCTGGTGCTATATTGCACTAGTGTTTTAAAAGGTCTTATTAAATTCTAGAATCATGTACAGTTTTATGAATCTCCTTTCAGAATCAGAGTGAGCTTTATCCACCAAGTGTGCGCAAACACATGGATTATTATTATTTTTTGTGGTTTACAGAAGCTCTGAGTACATACATACATACATACATACATTCATGCATATCAACACAAGGGGACCGAAAGAGATTTAGATAATTGGCAAATAAAGTAAACAATACAAAGTATATAAAATATACATATAGTGCTCAGCATAAATAAGTACAGCCCAATTTGAAAATGAATATTTTTATCCATTTCTCAGTGAATTTAGGTCATATATTTTGCTGCATTTGAACAAAACCGATTTATTAAACCGATGTATGTCCGCACTTGTAGCGGAATTAAAAAAAAAGCTCGACTTGACTTGATATATTTATTAAATAATATTTGTCACTGAAGATCTTTCAGAAATAGGAAGAAGAATACATTTAAGTTTATACGAAATATTGCAAAAAAAAAAAAAAAACAGACTTCAAAATATCAACAAAATTTTTTATATATTTAGTTTCTCTTGATTTTTGAGATATATATAGAGAGATATTAAGATTTTTGAGATATATATATATATATATGACAATCCCAGTAGATCAGCAGTTTCTGAAATATTCAGACCAGCCCGTATGGCACCAACAACCATGCCACATTCAAAGTCACTTAAATCTTCCCCATTATGATGCTCGGTTTGAACTGCAGCAGATCGATGTCTACATGCCTAAACGCATTAAGTTGCTGCCATGTGATTAGCTGATAAGAAATTTGCCAAAATGATCGGTTGTACCTAATAAAGTGGCCGGTGAAAAAAATTCTAATATTCATTCAGTTTCTTGTCGGCTTAGTCCCTTTATTAGTCAGGGGTCACCACATTGGAATGAACCGCCAACTTATCCAGCATATGTTTTACGCGGCTAACGCTCTTCCAGCTGCAACCCAACACTAGAAAACACCCATACACATTCTTTCACACACAAACACTATGGCTAATTTAGCTTGTTCAATTCACCTGTAGCACATGTATGTGGACTGTGGGGAAAACTGGAGCCCCTGGTGGAAACCCACGCAAACACAGGGAGAACATGCAAACTCCACACAGAAGGCAAATCGAAGGCATTGTGCTACCCACTGCCCCGAAGTGACAAACTGTAATTATATATATATATATATGTATATGTGTGTGTAATTATATTTACTATAAAACAGTAAAATAGATTACTACTATAAAGGTCATTATAATGCAGCATTAAAAATGCTTCTAGAATAAATTTGAATTACAAAATCTATTTAAATAATTAGTTAATTAAATTACATTTACAATCACACTAATATTATATAAGAAACCAAAACACAATTATATGCTGTTTATTATTTCATATAAATATGTAAATTACATTTTGTAATATAATAGAAAGTATACAGGCGATGCAGTGGCACAGTAGGTAGTGCTGTCACCTCACAGCAAGAAGGTCGCTGGTTCGAGCCTCGGCTGGAGTTTGCATGTTCTCCCTGCTTTCGCTTGGGTTTCCTCCGGGTGCTCTGGTTTCCCCCACAGTCCAAAGACATGCGGACATGTTTGTGTGGATGTTTCCCTGGGATGGGTTTTGGCTGGAAGGGCATCTGTTGCGTAAAAACATGCTGGATAAGTTGGTGGTTCATTCTGCTGTGGCGACCCCGGGTTAGTAAAGGGACTAAACCGAAAAGAAAATAAATGAATGAATAGAACACATAAATATATTTTAAAGAGGTCTGTTCTTTTCACCAATGCTTCATTTATTTAATAGACAGTAAAAGATATTCTATTAAACATTGTCAGCAACATCACTCCAGTCTTAAATGTTTCATAATCCTTCAGAAATCATACGTCACTTTTCTCCTATTAACGGGGTTCTCACGCTTCTTGAAAGTACTTAAATCTCAGACAATAATTCAAGTCCTGGAAAGTGCTTAAAAACAAATATAGCTCCTTGAAAGTGCTTGAATTAAATTTTAATATAATTTGTTTGGCAGCGCAGTAGGTAGTGCTGTCGCCCCACACCAAGAAGGTTGCTGGTTCGAGCCTCGGCTGGATCAGTTTTCGTTTCTGTGCGGAGTTTACATGTTCTCTCTGCATTTGCGTGGGTTTCCTCCGGGTGCTCCGGTTTCCTCCACAGTCCAAAGACATGCGGTACAGGTGAATTGGGTAGGCTAAATTGTCCGTAGTGTATGCGTGTGAGTGAGTGTGTGTGGGTTTCCCAGTGATGGGTTGTGGCTGGAAGGGCATCCGCTGCTTAAAAACATGAGCTAGAAAAGTTGGCGGTTAATTCATTGATAATTTTGTTCATTCTGTTTGTGGTTTTATTTCAACAAATGTACTGAAACTGTCAAAAACTAAAAATCTTAAATGTAAATCTTGTACAGAACACTGACAAAAAATGCACATATTTTAGAAACCGCTTTTGAATGTTGTCAGTATTTAATTCAACTACTTTTATTAAAGTTCTTGGAACATGACTGTTTAAAACGTTTTTTACATAAATATGAAGTGTAAGTGAAATGTTCAATACAGTTTGGGCTTTCATGGTGCTACATAATAACGAAGGTGCTTGATTTAAAATCCTTGCTTTAAAAAGTCCTTGATTTTGTTGTTAATGAAGTCGTGGGAACCCTGCATTATTGTAAATGCTGAAAAAGACGATTCCATTTCATATTTTTATCTTTTGATTCTTCGTATTTTGATTCTTTGAAAGTGTGAAAGGCAGCATTTATCAGGGACAAACGCTTTTTGTACCTTTATAAATGTCTTTACAGTCATTCCTAAAGTCATAAAACTATAATTTCCTTCCTAAATTCTTATTGACCAAAAAATGTTGTTCTTTCTAATCTTGATTTGCCTTTATATTATAATAGCATCCCTTTCACATGCACATAACATAGATTTCCCTAAGAAAACGAGGGAAAGCCCCAGAGAAGCAGAGACAGGCCGTCCTCATCTGTAAAGCATGTGCATGTGCATTAGAGTTGTGCGTAATAAGCCCTCAGAGGGATCTAATGGATTATGGGCCAAACACACGAAGACCTGTACAAAGAGCAGAGCCAGAAAGACCAGCATTGTGTAGTGACATTAGCCATGTCTAATGAAGGTTCTGGTGAATAAAGGAGAGCTGGCTGAGTAAATAATGTATTGGTGTTGTTTAGGGGGAGGATTTCTCTCAGTATATCAAAACACAGGAGCTGTAGAAAATGTATTTAATGAGGGCACATGACATCATTTCCCTTGAGGAAGGAGAGCGAGTGTCATAAACTCATGTGACAGCTTCAGAAGATTCAGAAACACGTCATATGTTTTGGGGTTTTACAGTAAATATGGGACAGGTGGAAAGTACTGCTAGAAGATCTGGAGAACTGAGATTGCAGGTGAACATAGAGATCATTGGCGCTGATAGTTCTACAGTTGGGGTATACTGACTTTTAGTTTCAGCTAGCCAGACGCAGAGTGTCTGGTGAACTGTCTTTTCATTATAAAATTGTCACATTTAAGGTCTGATTTCTTCAAAAATCAGTGATCTCCACTGCCTTTTATACGATCTGAAGTGAGTCTCAGACTGGACAAGAAGCACTGCGTTGAATTCCATTTTCCCCTGCCATGTATTTAAAGTATGACAATTTACTTTACTCTGTTTTTTTAAATGAAGATTCTGCACTTGCCTACTGGTACTGACTGTGCCTTTCATCTCGTTTTACACTAAATTACAACTAAATGAATTCTTAGTTATATTTAACTGAATGTATTGTAATTACATTACAACATTAATGCTATAAAAGAAACCTTGTGAAATTGAAAATAGTCACATTAACCTTTCACCGGTTTATCATTGGCTGAAAAACACAGCTGTGCCTATACCCCATTGTTGATTTCAGACCTGGGGCCTGTTCCATAAATCAAGCTTACAAAAAACGCTAGGCTTATTTTGGTAAGTCAGGTTTATTAATGGCGGATTCGGTTTCAAATTCAAATTTACGATTGTTCAAACTCAGTTACTATGGCAACTTATGCTAGGAAACAAGTCTGGTTTGGGGCAGGTTAACTCTCAGGCTGAGTCTTAAATTCAAGCTTCATCAAAATAATGTTCACCTGCTGTAATTTGATGCCATGTTAATTCACTTAACCTCTTAATAATGAATAAAACTTTATTGTCACTTAATAGTAGATTTATTTATACCAAACATCTTTAATACATATTAAACAACAACAACAAAAACAACAAAAAATACAAACTACAACATTTTAATTTTATATTTAATATTTTTCTATGTTTCTGTTTTTTTTTCTCCTGTTCATTAAAATTTTATTTAATATTTTCCCTCAACATATTAATTTAGGTGTACAAATTTTTAGACTGTGATCTTCAGTTCATGTTTTAATAGATTATATATATAGAGAGATATGTATGTATGTGTGTGTATATGTATATGTATATATGTGTGTGTGCAACTAATCTATCTATCTATCTATATGCGCATTCTATCTTTCTTTCTATATATAAGCACTGACTGATATAAGGAAGTAGGTTTTCTTAAAGAATGACTTACTGACGCGTTTTTAAAAATGGTTCACGGAGAGAGAAAAGACAGATTGCCTACACTGTTTATTATCTATATTTTGCAAAAGCACACACGTTTGTTGTCATTGTGAGTGCACACAATAAAAATTAGACACTTAACAGATTTGATTGATGTATTGATCTTATCTGTACGATCAAAACTGAAAGAAGACGCTTCAAACATGTATACGCGGTCTTCGAACCCTGAGAGTTAAAGCTGTAAACTTCGAATGGAATAATCGGGAGATGGATCCAGGCCGAACAGTAGCCTAATATAAAGATATTTTCCAACGGGCCATGGGAAACACAAGTGTCAAAGAAAAAGCAGCAATTTGCAGCGGATTCAGGAGCAAATTAAAAATTCCGCTGCTTGTGCGTGTACAGCAATTTACAGTTCTGTCTTTTATAATCAATTGTAAGTTTAAAACTTGTCGTCTCGTCCCTGTATGAACAGAGTAGGAGTCTGGTTCGCATTGTCAGCAATAAGTCAGATTTGTTTCCACTGGCAGGGCTGGCCCTTGTCACCAATTCTATTCAGAATTTTTATGGACAGAATTTCAAGGTGCAGCATTGGGCTGGAGGAGGTCCAGTTCGAAATTCATCTCTGTTATTTGCAGACGATGTTGTTCTGTTGGCTTCAAAAGTTTCCTTCAAAGGGTGGTAGGGCGAACTCTCAGGGATAGGGCGAGGAGCTCGGAGTAGAGCCGCTGCTTCTCCACATCGAGAGAAGTCAGCTGAGGTGGCTCGGGCATCTGTTTCGGATGCCTCCTAGACGCCTACCTAGGGAGGTGTTCCAGGCATGTCCCACCGTGAGGCGGCCTCGGGGAAGACGCAGGACACGCTGGAGGGACTATGCCTCTGAGCTGGCCTAGGAACGCCTCAGGATCTCCCCGGAGGAGCTGGAGAACGTGTATAGGGAGAGGGAAGTCTGGGGTTCTCTCCTAAGACTGTTGCCCCCGAGACCCGGCCCTGGAAAAGCGACAGAAGATGAATAATGAATCATGAATGAAGTTTAAAATTCATAAATCTGACCCTTTGAAATTCTAAGTTTACTTTTTTGTAATTATAAAGTCTATATCTTGCAGTTCTGATTTTTAATCACACAATTCATACTTTTTTTCCCCTCAGAATTTCTCTTACATATTTTCATTTTGTCCAAAAATATTGCAAGTTATTTTTTTGGAATTCTGAGTTTGCATCCTACAGTTTAAGTTATTATCTCACAATCTTGATAAAGCATTCATAGAAACGACAGCCGAAATCCTGATCGTTTCAGCAGAAGTGACTAAGATTGCACATTTATTTATTGTTTCAGTACTTTTTCTTGCCCGGATATACACTTGACGTCAGAATTATTAGCCCTCCTGAAATATTAGCCTCCCTCTATATTGTTTTCCCTAATTTCTGTTTAACAGAGAAGATTTTTTCAACATATTCTAAACATAATAGTTTTAATAACTAGGGATGTAACGGTATTGACTCGGTAAAACTATAGGTCTTCTGAGAAAATTTGCTCAGGCGAATGAAGCGAACGGGAGGTAGCGAAAACTACAATTCCCATCAGCCCAGGCTTGGCCATAATCCCTTGCGGTCTGTTGTCGCTACAGATCCAGTAATGCGGAAATGGAGTGTGCTGCTAGAAGCGGGGATGAAAAAGAGCTGGAAAACCCTAAAGCGGATGTTGTCGCTGCGCGCGTACTGAATAGTGGTGTTGTCGCGCGTGTTCTTATCAGCTGTGTTGTCGCGCGCGTACTGAATAGCGGTGTTGTCGCGCGAGTTGTTATCAGCTGTGTTGTCGCGCGCGTACTGTAAAGCGGGGATGGAGGGTATGTCGCGTCGTGGGGGCACTTTTGATCATTTTGGAAGGGAACTTTCTATTCAAGACTAAAAAGGGCATGTGCACTGCACAGGTTGAGCACTGTGTGTGCACGTGCCTGCAAGTTGGGGAATAGGACTAATAATCAGTCATGGGGACTGCAGAAACACAGCACACTGTTCAGATTGATGCAGACATGAGATCTCTATCTCACTCATGGTTTGTCCTCTCAAGTGGGGGAACGACAATGCACAACGTGACACACTGCTGTCAACCTGGGCCAAGTCATATCTCTCTTGTCCCAGAAACCTCAGTCCCAAATGAGAGGGTTTTTTCTGTTGCAGGGGACATTGTAAATGCCCAGAGACACCAGCTTTTACCAGATTATATTTATATGATAATTTTCCTTTAAAGCCATCTCTATCTAAGTGAGTGAGTGATTAAATGTTGAATGTGATGAGTTTTCAACACTACTAAATTGAAACTTAATTTTTTTACATGGTTTAATCTTTTTTTGTTATTAAAATTGAAGTTCCTGTTTCAAAGCTTACAGATAGATGACTAATTTGTATGTCATTGACACTTTTGGCACTTTTTTGGAGTATTTTCAAAAGTTTTGTTTTTTCCTGTAAATGATTCAATAAATATCGTACCGTGACATTCATACCGAGGTATTACCGTACCGTGAAATTCTGATACCGTTACATCCCTATTAATAACTATTTTCTAATAACTGATTTCTTTTATCTTTGCCATGATGACAGTGCATAATATTTTTCAAGATGCTAGTTTTCATCTTAAAGTGACATTTATAGGCTTAACTAGATTAATTAGGATAATTAGACAAGTCATGTAGACAATCGAAAAAAAATATTGCTCAAGAGAAATAATAATATTGGCCTTAAAATAGTTTTTAAAAATTCAAAGCTGCTTTTATTTTTGGCGAAATAAAACAAATAAGACTTTCTCCAGAAGAAAGAATATTATCAGACACACTGTAAAAAAAGTCTTGCTCTGTTAAACATCATTTGGGAAATATTTGAATAAGAAAAATAAATTCACAGGAGAGTGAATCGTTCTGAATTAAATATATATGTATATACTCAAATACATGACTAAATCCATATCCTCGAGACGGGATGTGTGCGCTTGGTTAAATAGAACAGAGGCAGATTTTTATTGATATGCCTAATGAAAGAGCGGGGGACGGATAGATGGATGTATTTCAAGCTTTGACGGACTGCCGTTCCCGGAGACGAGGCTGAGGATCAGTGTCAGCTGGTGAATAATAGATGTTGTTTATGAGAGTATATATTCAATCTGACCCCAGAGGTTACCGACAGAACTGCAACACAACTCCCGCAGGACGAGAAGGAGAGAAGCAGGGGCGCCTCCAAGGGGTGGCCAGGGGTGGCCACGGCCACCCCTCGGTAAACTCTGGCCACCCCTGTGGCCACCCCTGTGGCCACCCCTTTGGCCACCCCAATATAATTTTGCGGTTGACATTATTGATTTAAATGAACTTATAAATTCCCAATATTTAGATAAATAAATAAATAAATAAAATGCAGTCACTAAATTATTGTTGGTGTTACTGACGTAGCTCTCCCCCTCTGGTTCAATGCTGGTGAAAGCAAACTGACGCATGCGCGCGGAAAACCATTCTCGCGTGCCTCACGCACTCCTGTGTGAATCCCGGTTGGTTGTTTGCATGCACGCCGACATAATAGGCACCGCTCATGCGCCGTTAAACCGGAGTAACAGCCTTTT